CAGTATCCGAGTCGCTCGGCAACTTGTGCTCGCTTCTAAAGAGTTTAGCCACAGCAAGGAATCCACTGTCAATAAGCAAGCCTTTTATTATGAACACAATTATGAAGTTTACCAAGTATGGAAATAGGTAAATCAAAGGGTTAGACACAAGGCAAACTGCTAGACTTTCTTTAGCAAAGACAAAGAGATCAGAAAGAGATTGGTGAAAAGAAATCGCTGTATCACCCTCGTTTTTGCAAACGACCAGGACATGCTTTTGTTTGCCGTGTATATCAAATGGACTGTGATTGGACAGCGGAAGGCACTACATTAACCCACCAAAACAGGTTTTGGCTTAAAGGCCAGGGGGCGGGGGGACCTGCAACTCAAGTCAGTAATTAGAACTAGGATGGATGGCATGCGAACAACGTACCGCGCTGTAGCTGCCACCTGCACCAGGAGGCGGAGGCGGCGGGGACCCCGAGCTAGGAGGTGGAGGAGGGGCCTCGCTAGCCGGAGCAGAAGGCGGAGCAGTGCCATCTGCCTGCTGCTGGGCGGCAGCCATTTGCTGGTAGTACTGGTAGTATGCGACGTAGTTCTGGTATCCACCGTAGGCAGCATATGGGTCGGCAGTGCCGTAGTACTGGGCGTACTGGGCACTGTAGTCAGCGGCAGCGGGGGTGGCAGCAGCGCTCGGGGAAGCAGCAGCAGCAGCCTGGCCTGCAGGGCTAGCGGAGGAAGTATTATGCTGCTGGCGATTGTTGTAGCCGCCGCCGTATCCACCACCGCCACCACCTCCACCTTGGTAGCGATCACCACGATCACCACGGTCACCACCGCGGTATCCACCGTAGTTGTGCTGGGGTGGGTTCTCCTTGAAACGCTGGTATTGTTCCTTGACATTGGTTAGAAGATCCTCGCAAAGCTCCTTTGCTTGCTGAACATCGTTGGCGTCAGGGCCACTTGAAAGATTGTTAGTAGAAGCTCATCAGTGTGGCAGAAACGAGCGAGGCAAAAAGCAAGTGAGAAGCAAAGTCAGTAAGAAAATAGATGATAACTCACGCCACATGGAGGAACATAGCCTCGTCACTTTCACGACCAGTGCTCGATTCAATGAAGCCAGATCCACGGCCCTTGATCTGAACACGGCAACGAGTCTGCTGTTGGATGTGCTTCACATAAGCACCGCCCTGTCCGACGACCTGAGCACGCAGGTTGAAACCGGGAATCGGCTCAAGATCGATGGGGATGCGCTCATCCGGCCATTTGCGCTGTATGAAATTAGCCAAATTATTATGTCAACAAAGGGGAAAAGAACAGTGCCATACACGGCCATACTCATCCCGCTCAACCTGTTGCTCGGGTTCCCGGCGGCGGAAACGTCGCTCGTCAACCAGGTTCGGAAGTTCTTTTTGCATCAGGTCATTAATCATCGCGACTGCTTTCTCCAGACCATCTTTATTGGTGCTGGTGACATGTAGGTAAAGTGGAGGGCTCTGGATCAGAATAATCAGCATTTGATCTCGCCAATCTTGGGGGGTTATTCCTTACTGCAGCAGTCGCCATGTTCTTGTCGGGGTAATAATTGCCGCGGGTTGTCACATCTTGAGAGAGAAAAAAGTGAGTGAGACCTTCTTTGCCTAAAGTTAAAAATATAAGAGGAAGTCGTACCGGCGCCGGTTTCATCTTGAATCTATAAGTCACGCAGCGGAGGTCAGCAGATGCAACAGAGGGTGAATTGGATGCTATGTTTTAGTGAAGGGTAAGCTTCATCCAGTCCGAAAGAAGAGAGCAGAACGATGAGGGAGCGAGATTCAGGGTACCCCAATCTTCTACAAGGAACATGACTGGAATATCAGCAAGTGACAAAGGGGATAATTACCATCTTCTGAGTAGATCCCTTCGTCAGGGTGTAGCGATTGCGCAGATCATTGATCTCAATGTCCTTGATGTAGTCACCATCTGCGACGTAGATTTCAGCATTCAACTTCGCGGCACCCTCGGCGGCGGGCGACTGGGAATTCTCTGTCGCGTTGTCGGCCTGTCCGACAATGTTAGAAGTTGGGTAGAACGAATCGAAGTGAGTGTATATTCACAGAACGGATTGGAGGGACATCAACGTGTTGAATGCCCTTTTTCGCCTGAAGCTGCGCATTAATCTTGGCTGCTGCTGCCGCTATAAAGACCACAATAATTAGCCATATGATCTGAATTGTGACGGTATATGAAACCGAGTGTAACGCACCTGCGGCGGCGGCCGGATCCACTGCAGATGGCTTTGCTGGAGTATCTGCGCCAGGGCTGCGACTCAGCGGGCGACTCAGCGGACTACGAGTGCGGGCCGACTCCGACTGTCTGTTGGACGGAGATCGAGAGCGTCGGTCAAAACGGGATCGCCGGGGCTCCGGCTCAGTTTGATCAAAGCGAGACCGCTTGACTCGATGTTCATCGTCCGCCATGGTGGAAGGTGGGGTAGAGTGGGAAAAAGGAGAGGAGAGGTCGGGGAAGAGAAGCTCAAAAGGTCCAGATCGATTGCGGGAAGGAGTTTTAGAGGCGGAGGCCGAGCAGCCAACAAACAAAGCCACGAAATACAAATCTGAGAAGATTTTAAATAAATTGAAAAGCTCAAAGTGAGGATAAGAGCTGCGAGTATTATATATTCCTCATTTCCGAGAGCTGGACGGGTTTTCTGGCAATCCCTTTTGCCATGTTGAAGATTGAAGGTCACGTGGTAAGAAATCACGTGCTTTTATTACTGGCAGATGAACTATACCGCTTTAGGTCTAGTTTACTCTGAGTCAGCGGGCGGTCGCCGAGGTCGGCCGATTAAAAAGAATATACCCGGGGCGAATCTGGAGTGAATCATCGCACAACCCATTCACATTACTTGAACTCCTCATGGCTTTCAGGCGTCCATTGACGCTGTCCCTGGGGTCAGCGTCGCAGTTGTCATCTGCTGCAGCTACTGCCCGGTCCCGCGCTGCTGCGCTTCCTCGATTCACCTCTATTCGTGCATCGTCGAGCTCAACTTCAGCTCTTGCCTACAAGGCATTGCACCGTCGCTCCCCTCTGCCTTTGCCAGTCTCCGATGCTTCCCCTCAATGGGATGCCCCGACCGCTGTCTCCTCCATTCTCTATGAGACTCCCGTCGCTCCCTCCAACCCACCCAAGCGGCACATCCTGAACTGCCTCGTGCAGAACGAGCCCGGTGTGCTGTCCCGTGTGTCTGGTATCTTGGCCGCCCGCGGCTTCAACATCGACAGTCTGGTGGTGTGCAATACCGAGGTTGAGGATCTCTCGCGCATGACCATTGTCTTGCAGGGCCAGGATGGTGTCGTCGAGCAGGCTCGCCGCCAGCTGGACGACCTCGTCCCCGTCTGGGCTGTGTTGGACTACACCGACTCCGCTCTTGTGCAGCGTGAGCTTCTCCTGGCTAAGGTCTCTATTCTTGGTCCTGAGTTCTTCGAGGAGCTTCTCCAGCACCACCGCGAGATCACCACCTCGCCAGACTCCCTGGACCACAAGCACACCAGCCTTGACCAAACCGCCCAGCAATACCACCCTCGCCACCTTCCCCAGAGTCAGGCTCTGCGTCACAAGCACGAGCACTTGGATGCCATTACCCGCCTGGCTCACCAGTTCGGTGGTAAGATCCTGGATATCAGCACTAACAACTGCATTGTCGAGGTGTAAGTATTTTCTATGTCCTGACTCATTCTTTTTGATCACAATTGACTCATTCGGCCTTCTACAGCTCTGCCAAGCCTTCCCGTATCGACTCTTTCCTCAAGCTGATCGGTCCCTTCGGTATTCTCGAGTCCACCCGGACCGGTCTGATGGCCCTTCCCCGCTCTCCTCTGGGTGAGCCCAATGAGGAGATCGAGAAGGATGCTGCCGACATTGTCGATGTCAGCACCCTGCCCCCTGGCTAAGCTCTATATCAATTTCCAACTCAACCCCTACATACCCGAATAGGATTGGTTTGATCTCTTTGCTTTGTGTATCTTCTAGTTTTCGCCTGGAGTTGACCTAATTTCAAAATAAGTGGCTCGGCCATTGTATGTAAAATGACAACAAATATTGTTTTCCTCGCATATACGGAGTACATGTTCCTTGCTTTTCCGAACATAAATTGATATGATACCTCAAGTAGCGGTGTACGGTTATTCACTTGATATATTCTGTGTCTGCCGTGGCGTTTCCTATATCAAAGGTCGTAGATATTCCATCACGCTTGCTCCCAATACGGAGTAGTCTCTCAAGCATTAATCATTGAGAGAAACAGTATTTCTAGCATGGCATTAATGGCATTTAATCAGGTATCAACCTATAGTCTATGGTGTGATTAGGGAAACAACCTAAGAAGAGAAACTAAGAAAGCAATGTAAATACTGCATATATCCATCTGAAAGAAGTTCCATCTAATTGCTTACAACTAGTGATATGTAGCTTACAACTAGTGATATGTAGCTTACAACTAGTGATATGTAAGACTGCCAGTAAACACACTAGCATGATCATGTGTAAAATATATAGGGTATATTCTGCAGTGCATAGCTTGTCAGCGGTACATGCCAAGGGGGGACGATAGCGAAGGTCAGTAGAAGTGCTCACTCACTGCATATATTTATGCCAGCCCACATTTATTTGTTCCAGTCCAGATAGGATATAGGAGGCTTTACCTTGCCAGTCAAGTCCTACCTAGATAGGAGCGGTATAGGCGTTTGATTTTTACTTATTGAAATAGAGGAGAAGTCCTTTTCAATCCTTATATATCTGTGCTTCTTTCTGGCTGTACTCCTACCCTTACTTTGATCTGGTTCCACTTAATTTTCATCGTTGGGATTAAACTAATAGCAGTCTATTAAGCACCCTCCTAAAGATAGGGATTGATCCAATCAAGCAAGTTCCCCATACATCAATCATTTAAATATGGGCACCCGGGTATTGCCGATCCAGCAGCAATGAGCACAGCCCAAGACTAATACCGAGACCTCCATTATACAGGTCGTAGCAGCTCTCTAAAGCCTCACTTTGGCTGCAATGCCCTTCCCATGGTAGAGGATGACATCCGCATAGTTCCCAATCAGCACCCCAACCTTAGCGACAGCATCCATCTCCAACGACTGACCGAGTGCCTTGCGCAGTGCGTCGTACCCAACCCCGCCCATGTCAAGATCGACTGGCAAGCGTGGACTCCTGGATATACCAGGTGGCACTTCAAAGGGTTCACGGTTATTTATCCGACCGATTGGCTCCTTTTTCTCGTAGAAAGCTGTTGCGTCGATTGAGGTGATTAGAATATTATTTTCTGTTAGGGGTGAGGAGAGGATGAATTCTGCTGTGGAGGACCAGAGGTAGAACTAGATTCGTGAGTAAGTGTTGATAGGAAGTCTTTTCTTCTCTCTGTGTGGGACACGGTATGAGTGAAAGGGATATGTACCGTTGCATCATGGATAAAACGAGGTTTTTGGTCCCCATCATCGCTATCTGGGGACCCCGGAACAGATATTTGAGGGACAGGCACAGTGATGTTGAGGATGGATAATGCTTCGCCCAGGTCTGGTAAAGATGGAATCGTGTTCCGATGGCTTTTGATGGTGATTGTTGTATTCAAGCCTGGATGAAAGCATCAGCATAATCAACCACTTGGATCCACACCATCTAGAAGGAACTCACCTGATATATAGGATGACATCAACGCCCGTCCTGCCTCAACGCCATCTACTCCAGCTGCGTCCAACGGGCACCAAAAGAAGTCGATGGGCACGTAACTGTTGTTGCCAGGCCCAACAGAGATATTATGAGCGGTGATGTGGGCCACAGCAGTGTCATTGTAGAGTATAAGAAGGTCAAGGAAGGGAACAGTAGCCGAGTAGTTCGTTGGATTAGTAAAGTTCGCCTGCGTAGACACCAACATCGACGATTCAGTCGTCTTTCCTAATTGCAATGAGACGACGCGTGGATTGATTTGGTCAAGTGAGTTGCCGATGGAAGCTATGACATGGTCAATGGCCAAAATATTCTTGATTTGTACTAAGATCTTCTAATTCATGAAAACATACTCTTCACGGGTACCTTGCCTTCCGCAGGAATCCCTCGCACGGCGAAGCGGCCCAACCCAGTTGAGACCTTGGCGTCTACGGTGGCGGCAACCCGCAGTACGACTGTTTTGCTACCGAAAAGCATTGCTTGGATAACCTCTGCCAAAAGGTCGTCATCTGTGACTTGTAATGGTGCTCCCTTGATTGCAAACTCCACAAGGAGTGCAGAAGAGCCATCTTCATCCTCCACCATTGTGGAGTTGGCGCCTTGCCAGTGGCTGATGTTCAACACACCAAACTTCTCTTCCTTGTAGTAGACATCTGCAAGGGCACGAACTTGCGGGACTTCTACTTGGAAATTCATCTCCTCTGGCAAAGCAATGAGAACCTTCACTAGAGCGGACACTGTGGGTTGCGAATCTGGAGAATCTGGCTCCGCGAAAGGGTTAGGAAGGGAGAAATGTGTATCGGACATCGTGAAGTTCTTCACGAGGTTGTCCAACGCATGTCCCGTAAATGGAAGAGGCACAGTCACGCTGCGCAGTAGATTGACAAGCCATGCTGGTGTGCTGGGCAATGGTGCATCAGATCCACGGACGTAGATAGTCGTTTCGAGACCTTGCATGAAGCTCGAAACTAAAAAGTCTAGAGGTGAACCCTCTCGACCTGGGCAGGTAGAGGTCAATTCATCGGGTAGCTGTTGGATGAGACCATCAACACCGACTGCAGTTTCCTGGCCAGGGTAAACGTCTACTGCACTTGTCTTCGCATTGGCGACCAAAATATAAGGATCCCCGGGTGAACAATTGGGCACCAGAATGTCAAAGCCGAGGGCAGGAACAGTGAGAGCGACGGGCGAATCAATCAAAGACGAAAGTAAGACATCAACTGCCATGTCACCACTATTTGCATCATGGACATTCAGCTTGAGAATATTGATCGTTGGCAGAGCAGGGAAATCATGTTCTGAAAAGGGGTTAGCTGATATGTTCCAGTACCAAAAACGACCGAATACACAATACCTTCAATGATGATATTGTCTGTCAGAACTTGAGTTCCTAAAGCAAACAAGCCTGACTTGAGTTGCAATGTCGCCTTGCCCTTCACATTGAGGCGACCCAATCTTCCCTCAATCCAATCAATAGCTATCGCGTGGATTCCTCGAATATCACCAGCCTCTAGATCAGCGAGGAAGTCGACATTGGTATGGCGGCCGGTACGGATGTTCACCTTGATGGAAGGCAATGCTGCATTTCCAACAAGCACATTCCCATATTCTGGGAGATAAACTTCAACATTCGATGGGCCCGTTTCAACTTCCCTGGCAATCCATGTTGCCAATCGACCAATGCCTCGAACCGACTTGTTTTTCACGCGGCCCGAGTCCATCACGAAGTCGCCCCGAATCCGGGCGCGAACACCGTCGGGTGTTGTAGAATCAATTGATACTGCCGTCGGTTTGAAGACAGCGGCTTCTTGTGCATATTCTTTGACCGCCGCCGGAGCAGCAAATGCAAGTACCAGTATCGCCAAAATACTGAGCGTTAAAATAGAGAGAGATATAACCGTCGGCCACGGTACACGGCTCCGCTTCTTGATGGCACCGTCGTCGGGCGGGTTCTGTGATGCGAATGAAGAAGATCGCGATAATCCTTCCTCAGTCCCGTATGTCAAGTCATCACGGCGGTTTAATAGAGGTGTTGATTCTGATGACAATTCATATGATGGCCTAGGGTGGTTGGCGGATGTTCTCTCCAGGGGCTGTTCAATAGGGCCGGACTGCTCATCCAACAGAGCCCGGTTCGCCGCATCCGACATCGCGGCCCCACCTGAATGAGATCGGGATATTCTTTGCTTGGTATTACCCTTCGATTGATCCTCAGAGTGGTGCAAAACATGCGATGACTCTGTTGATAATTGAGATGATGGCCTGGGCTGTTCGTCGGATGCTCTCCCGGAGCCGAACTGCGCATCTAGCAGAGGCCGGTTTGCCTCGTCAGCCATCGTGGCCCTAAACGTATGGATAAATCACAGTGACTTGAAGTTTCTAGAGTGGATAACAGTTATATGAAAAGATTGAATCCTAAGTACAGAGCACAGAGAAAAAGAGAGAGAGAGATGGAGGCAAGACGTAACCTTGGAAGAGGCGCCCTCGATGACGATAAGCCGATGATAACGGAATCCTTAGAACTGTGGAGAGATCGACACCTTGATACCTAAACTATTGGGCGACAAGGCACCAAAACCCTCGCACATCCACCGACTAATTTATTGGCTCGTTCATTGAGTCATCTAAGGTTTCTTCACTTCTAGTGACTCCCCCGTTCATTTTTTTCCCTTTCCCTTTCCCACAACACTCCAATTCCTTACCAATAACCCCCAGCTCATCATGGCTAGTGGTCTCACAGCTGCCGCCCGCTATGGTGCCCAAAGTGTAAACCAATTGGCCGGCTCTACCTCATTGCGTCGAACACTCCAGGCTAATGGAATCCGACGATTTGCCCACCAGACACCGACTCTACCTCCCACCTCTCCTTTCGCCCCTCGTCACCTTCTCTCCATTGCAGACTTGACCCCCACGGAATTCGCCACCCTGGTCCGCAATGCTGCCTCGCACAAGCGTGCCATCAAGTCCGGAGCCATTCCGGAAAGCCTTCTGGGATCCCTCTCCGGAAAGACCGTGGCCATGATGTTCAACAAGCGCAGTACTCGCACCCGTGTATCCACCGAAGCCGCTACCGTCCAGATGGGCGGTCACCCCATGTTCCTCGGAAAGGATGACATTCAGCTCGGTGTCAACGAGTCCCTATACGATACCTCCGTTGTAATTTCGTCCATGGTATCGTGCATTGTTGCGCGTGTCGCTAAGCACGAGGACGTCGCAGGTCTAGCACAGCACTCCACCGTGCCTGTGATCAACGCACTGTGCGACTCCTTCCACCCGCTTCAGATTATCGCCGACTTCTTGACTATCCACGAGTCTTTCCCAGCTCAAGCACACAAGCTCTCCAGCCTGGGTCTGGAGGGTCTTAAGATTGCTTGGGTTGGTGATGCGAACAACGTTCTGTTCGATCTGGCTATTGGCGCTACTAAGATGGGTGTGGACATGGCTGTTGCTACTCCTAAAGGCTACGAGATCCCTGCGCACATGATCGAGATCATCCAGCGTGCTGGTGAGGGTGTTGCCAAGCCTGGCAAGCTCACCCAGACCAACATTCCCGAGGAAGCTGTGAAGAACGCCGACATCCTGGTCACGGATACCTGGGTCTCCATGGGCCAGGAGGAGGAGTCCAAGAAGCGTATGAAGGCCTTTGAGGGCTTCCAAATCACTGCTGATTTGGCTAAGCGTGGTGGCGCTAAGGAGGGCTGGAAGTTCATGCACTGCCTGCCCCGCCACCCCGAGGAAGTGGATGACGAGGTTTTCTACAGCCCACGCTCTCTGGTCTTCCCTGAAGCCGAAAATCGTTTGTGGGCGGCTATTGCCGCATTGGAGGGCTTCGTTGTGAACAAGGGAAAAATTGTGGAGTAAAAACCGGTTAATCACCGAGTTTATAGAAATATGCTGAATACCTTTACCCGGCCAATGACAGGGATGATGATTTGATATTGCGGAGTCAACCCAACCTTGGAATGCCGAGGGTTCTCCGTTGCCGGCGAGCCAATCAAAGGATGAGCCGATGGCCTGGGGGCTTTCGGATGTGGCTCCTCTAAAATGGCGGGGGCTTCCGATTCTGAGACATAAACACTTTATTTTGTTCTGATGTAGATCATCCGAATTGACTATGTATATTGTATAATAAATTTGCTAGTTGTTAACTATCTGAAACCTCTAGTACTATACCAAGAAATCTAAAAAGTATAGGTACAATATCTACATTCGCCCTCGGGGGAGTTGCTTCACATTACTCCGAATCCGATATCACTATAAAAGATATAAAAATAGAATATGGAAACTGCTATTAAAAGTCTCAAAAGCTGCATATTCCCTAGCCGATTCTCGAGATTTGGGGAATATGACATGTATTCCACACTAATGCCTGTTGGAGCTCGGGAAATCTGAGGTAGAATGTCGGAATCATTGCTCACCCCACACTTCTCCACGCTCCGAAGGGCGTCTCCAAGACGGTTGATCGGGTAATCTTCTGGGGGGGAGTCCGAGCGAATATCCATAAAGCTTGCTCGAGAACCTGGGGTATCAATCATCATTCTCTCAATACTATCCCTGTTTTCGATATCTCCGAATTCTTCTACATTTCATTATTCACACAAAATTCACACCACACTCACAATGGGCTTCGAAGACAAGCGAGTTGCAATTGTCGGCGGCGGCCTAGGAGGCATGTCCTTTCTCAACGCCGCGCTGTATGCCGGTCTGAAGAACGTGCAACTCTACGAGCAAGCAGCGCAGTTCAGTGAAGTGGGCGCCGGGGTAAACATCACCTCGAACGCAAACCGCGTCCTGGACGCCTTCGGTCTGCAAGAAAGCATGATGCGCAAGTCCTCACGCAAGCTGCCCAGCTATATGGAATACCACAACTACAAGACCGGAGACTATGTTGGTCACATTGGTGAATTCTCGCAACCCCACGCGCGCCTGCTGCACCGCGCCCACCTACTGGACTCGCTGAAGGAGCGCGTGCCCGAGTCTAGCCTGAATCTGGGAAAGCACCTGGTATTCATCGACCGCAATACTGCCGCCGGTGCTGCGCCGTACACCCTTCATTTCCAGGATGGCAGCAGTGCCGAGGCAGATATTGTGATCGGCTGTGATGGTATCAAGTCTAATGTGCGCCGGGATATGGGCCTGGGAGACGACCCCAACTACTCCGGCCAGGTGGTGTATCGTGGATTTGTGGACTATAAGGACCTACCTACTGAGACAGCGCAGCTGCTGCGCAAGACTGTTAACTTCCGTGGCCCCAAGCGCCATGTCCTGATCTTGCCTATTGGTAACCAGGAGACGGGGACCGACCGTGCTGCCATCATCGGCTTCATGTCTGAATCGCTTGAAGCATGGGACTCTGAGAGCTGGATGTCCCGCTCGGATATTGATAGTCTCCAAGAGCATGTACGTGACTGGTGCCCGGAGGTGCAGCATATCATTGCTGGTCTGCGTAAGAGCTCTGAGGACGGCAAGATGCTCAAACAGGCGCTGTACGTGCGTGACCCGATCGAAAAGTGGTATGAGATGAAGAGTGGACAAAAGGATGCCGGTATCATTCTGCTTGGTGACTCGGCACACTCGACTCTTCCTCATCAAGGTACGTTGTATCCTATCTGTGTCTAGTCCTTTTGTGGGGCATTTATTAATGGTATGGTATAGGTCAAGGAACATGCATGGCAATTGAATCTGGTATTGCCCTTGCGACGGTCCTTAGATACTGGAAGACAGATGACCTAGAGGCTGCATTCAAGTTCTACCAGGACCTGCGCAAGCCCCGGACGGACCGGGTCACAAAGACCAGCTACGAAGCTGGCAAGTTGGCTAGCTCAGACTCTCCGGACCAGATGTCCAACAACTTCAACCCGGATGCATTGATGGAGCGTATGAGGTGGATTATGGAGTACAATGTTCTAGAAGACTTGAAGGTCAAGGGTCAGGGATATTTGGACTTCCAAGGTTCGCGCCTGTAAGCGGGTATGATATATCTTATGCTGGTATAGATATTTTGATAGCTACTCTGCAGAAAGAAATAGATATTTTCTAGATTTTCATATATATTCAGTTCCATTGCATCAAATCAGTACTCATCATGCCATAGTCGTATAATCACATGATTGACTGTAGAACTCGGGTTCGCAATGTTGGACGATTTCTATAGATCCGTCATATATCGGTCATTCCATCCCACGCCACTTATATATATTCATTAGCATTCCACTAGATCTCGATTTAGTGATTATATTTCTATCCTCGGGAATAATAAACTTCTTCAACACAATTGCCGGGGCCGCCCGACCACTTTCACATGCCAACCGCACGTGCAGCAACCTCCGCATTTCCAGCATCTTGACTTCTTCATCTCTAATCCTGTTCGAGGTTTCGGCTGGAAAACCCATCATGGAGGTAAATACTAGATTCTTGGACAAAAGCATGAACTGGATATTTAACGTTACATATATAGTTCAACAGCACCCCGGGAAGCTTCCAGTCCCGTCGCTCATACCCATCCCTCCGCCACATCTCTCTAGCACCCTTAAATCCACGATTTCCCATAGACGACGACACAGATCCAACAGATTACTTCAACCACCGCGACGATGAATCTGCAGCTAGCGGCACCCGCACACCCCCAGCATCATCCTATCTATCCAGCGTCTCAGTCCCAAGCACGCCACCGATCCTCTCCCACTCACGCAGCAACTCACGAAGCCGCCACATGCGCAGCAAAAGCTCTACAAGGATAGGACCCCTGAGCGACACAAATCTGCACAGCCGGGAGCTGGGTCATGCCCTCCATCACATCCCAAATACGCACAAGAAACAGTCCGGTATCTCGCATTTGCAAGGACGACGCCCCTTGCCAGACAGCACGCCGAAATCCAAGTCTGACGCAGAATGGATGCTCCGCGCAGGAATCGCTCTAGCCTCCTCGACCCGCGAGGAAAAAGGCCAAAGCTGGCTCTCCAAGCGCGAGAGCTCTACAAGTCTCGTCCCAGACACGCCCTTCGACGAAGCATCCACTAACCGCCACCACCACCGCACCAAATCGGGCACCTTGTCACGCATTTCCCGCTCCGGCGCTTCAACACCGGGCGGAGGTGGCGCTCTCTCTCGCGCCGGCAGTAGACGCGGCAGCCGACGCGGCAGCAGAGTCAATCTAACGATGACCGCCCTCCCGGCTGCATCTGCATCATCTACCTCAACGCCAGCAGAAAGGGTACCCATCCGGTCGGGCACATCCACAGGAACCGTGACACGCACAACGAGTCCCGAAGCGCGTGGCCGTAGTCCTCTAGTGCCAGACTTCGTAGACGCGCGCATCCGCGCCGAGATGGCATCGCTACAGCACCAATTCCCAGACGAAGACTCTGTGTACTGGGACAGGGCTGGCTCGGAAGAAGATGAGACTTCGTCTGAGTATTCGCGTGACTCTGATGAGACGCCGGATGACTTCGACGAGGCGGATCTGCAGCAGCTGACGCGTGAGCGTGGATTTGGACTCGGCTCTTGGATTGACCGGTTGGTTGAGTGGACGCTTTTCGGGGTTGACGAGTGGCCTGCGGGTGTTCCAGCTGCGACGGCTGCTTCGCGTATTGGGACGGCGGATACTACTACTACTGTTACATTTGAGGAACCTATGTTGGTGGATGGGCGGGCTGATGATACGCTTTCGCTTGGGTCGGTTGGGGATGGGGATTTGTCGGATGGTGATAGTTCTATTGGCAGTGCTGCTCCAATTGAGAAGCCTGGGAGTCAGGGTGGGTGGGAGGATGCTGGGTGGCTGTTTCGTTTGATGAAGCGGGCAATGGTATGAATTATGAATTGTTTTGAGCGATTGTCTTGGTTGGGGTGGTTGTCTGTAAATATTGTCTTGTTTTGGTTTACTTGCTTTCGGTAATTATTTCTTAGCTCTGTTGTTTGGAATATCTGAAGCTGGCTATACACGGCTAAGCAATAGCCCTAATAGAATAGGGGAATGACCCGGGGTTTACATCTTTATACTTGATGGCCAAAAGCTTTAACAAACTAGATAGAATTCCAATGAAACAAGCTAGCGTGAATGGGGGCCCTATCAACCAACAACGTATCAAAAATATGTTGCGCGATATGACAGGATCAGAACGTATGTTGCAGATCGAGTTGGATGGCGAGTGGCCCTCTTCTAATGTATAGAACAGGTTCAGATCTCTGCCACCTTTGCTGAAGCTGAAGAGCACAAGGATTGGGTTTGATGGCCCAAGATAGAAGTTTTCGCTCTGACACGCATCATTGGAATATGCGAGGGAACTGACACAAGTAATAGAGATCGATGCCAAGTTCTGAAAGTAAAACAGGAAAAGACAACTCACAACAGCAAAAGAGAACAAGAAGAAGAGATAAAAACAATGAGACATGAATGAAATGAAAGAGAGAAATTTATGCGACACCAGGGCGCCAGTGATATAGAAAGAGAGTATCAGAGTTGGAATGAAGTACAAAGATGAAAGGAAAGAGGAAAGGAAGGATAATGCGTATCAATCAGAAGACGACACACAAGCAAAGCAAGGAAGAAAGCGGAAGGTATTAAGTCTGAATGAGTTCATTGAAAGATTTGAAATCAAACAAGCTATAACAGCATTCATCTTCCGAAGCTCCAGCCGATAAAAAGAAGAAAACAAAAAAAAAGCTGTAGGTTATCCGCCTTGAGTACTATAACGCCATCTGACCATGTCGATTCTAGGGTCATGCAGCAGGTATCGTGATCGTGACATACGTCGAAAATTGCGCGGTCAAAGGGGTATGGACCGTCGGTCAAGCTCAAATGAGAGCCGGCATGAATGGGGGGACGTGAGGCCGACACGCAAGAGCGGTGTGAATTTAATGGTGGTCTTTCGTAAGGAAATCGGAGTGGCGTGATTTATCACCAAGGTCCGACCTTGACTGGTGTTCCCAGCCCGTAAGTTCCGGAGAAGAGCTGATCCCGTATGGAGCCCATGTCGTTGTTGGCTCCGTGGGACGGTGTATCGGGTCCAGCCATCCATCCCAAGCTCAAGCCGAGTTCGTTGACAGCTCCCTGTAGCTTTCCTCCAGAGGTTTGGTTGTGCTTGGCCAATTTTTGGTCCCAACCTCCGTACTGCAACTGGATGCCGCCTCCTCTTTTTGCTGCTTCCCGGATGACCAGAACCCATGCCTTGCACATCTCGTCGTAAGCTGAATCTCGTTCGAGGTTGTTCTGTGGCGTGCTCCAGCGAGGCAAGGCATGAATGATGTCGGTTGCCCCATCTAGGTAGCTCAAGGATGTGGATGCTTGGGATTCGTTGGGAGGGAGAAAGTTGGGGGTGAAGTCACTCAAGGCGTCAAGAAGGTTGGTGAGAGGCTGTCGGACTCGGTTGTAGGCATAGTCCGATTCGGTGTTGCCACCCAACGGGAATGAAGACTGGAGGGCGGCCTGATAGTTTCGAAGAACTTGAAGGGTCGAGGAAACATTTGGACGTGGGGATGTGTGCACAACCTCGTCAGCGAGTTGAGGGTGACGCTCGCACATGGTCCGTACAACGGTCCGCAAGGCATCTGTATCGAGGGTCTCTAGCAGACGAGGCAGAGATAGAGGTCGGCCTGAAACGTTCGGTCGGGAACGTTTGATGTTGCGGTAACTGTGGGGGAGTTGTCGAGGAGTGAAGGCGGGAGAATTTGTGGGCGAAGCAGACATGCGTCCATCATGGTCATTGTCGTCGTCGGCTTTCCGTTTACGGCTGGCATAAGACGACGAAGGTGTAGACACTGGCCATATTGTCAGTATACAAATATATCAAGGAGAACCACCTCGGGACAGAGAGAAGAAATTATTTCAATGTCTAGGGAAGGGATATCTTACTCATACGGGAGGGAGAGAATCGGGAGTTCTCGTAGAAGTGAGGCGGAACAGGAGGTGTGGCCACCAAGCTGTTCATGGTGACAGCCGGATGGCGTAGAAGAAATGTGATAGTCCAAAGGACTCGGATATCCAAAAGAGTGAAAAAGAAGAGCAGTAAGCAAGCTTGAAGAAGAAGAGGATAAAGGAGTTTGAAGTGGGGAGAGAAGGGTAGAGAAAGGTAGCGGTGGAGAAAAAGTAGGCGTTGCAGGTGGCAACGCACTCCCTTTGCGCAGCTTTTAGAGATCTGTGCCCTCAAAAAAAGATTTGACAAGGATTAGAAAAGAAAATTTTTATATATCTTTTTATAAAGATCTTTGAGGATAAATTATGAAAGATCAAATGTCTTCAAATGTTTCATTTTGGTGTCATCAAATGTGTCAGACAAAAAAACTCTCCACTGCTTTCGGAGGCTATACGAATACCCGCATCATCTACATCTACATTCTACGTAATAGGAAAAAGGAAAAATTGTGGGTAATCATATTCTTTGGACTCCGGCGTTCATGAAAGGGATATCGTATCTACAAGTACAGGGACTGGGCAGCAACAATATCGCGGCGGACCTTGCCCAGGGCCTCCTCGAACTTGCTCTCCAGGTCCTCGCTGCCCATCACCTTGGCAGCTTGCGCCATCTGCCGCAAACACTCTTCCAACCGGCGGAAGACACGGATCAAGCTACCTTCATAGACATCGGTCATTTTGCTAGGATAGTTAGTATACGGCTGGAATAATGGGGCGGGTGATGCTTACCAGATATCTGCAAATGACTTGCCCTGAGTCCACTCGTAGATCACCTCCATCAGCTCCCAGTGGAAGCTCTGCACGTACTCATCCTCATTCACGGCCATCTTAGACTCCTGCGACACCTTGGCAATGATGCGGGCCTGTGCTTGGATCTCCTTCAGTGGCTTCGCCAACTCATCCTTGGCCAAAGCAGGTGCTTCCTTGACCTTTTCTTCAAACACGAAACAACTCATGACAGACGCGATTTGCTCGGCAGTCAGGTTATTGAAGAAACCATTGAACAGCAACTCGCTCAGCATCAGTTCGTCACCTGTGCTAATCTCACAAGCAACACGAGCCTTCAACTGCACAACTTCGGCTTCGTTGATGAATCCGAAACGACGGAGCACACGCTTGCGACACTTCAGCTCATCAAGCTGCAAGATTGACATGGCTTCCGTAATCTGCTTCTTAATCGCCTTGATCTTTGCAGTCAGGTCCACCTTCTCGGCGTATTGCTCGTACAGCTCAGTCAACCGAGGTGAATTGTGCAAAGGATTACTCAGGAGGCGAGACTCAAGAACCTCGATTTTCTATCTTATGGTTAGCAGCGTGAATCATGTGTTGGAGCAACAGAATCTCTTCTTACCCGTAGCAGCTTCTTGAAGCTTTCATCCTTGATCTGCATGTTCTCAATCGGATCAAGTAGCGGAACACCGTCTGGGAAACGCCTCTTAACTTCATTAACAGACTTCATAACATCATTTCGAGAGCCGGGCGACGTGATATCCTTAGGAAGCATGATCCGGATGTGAGAGATTTCCGTGATGCAGCTCAGCACAACGGGCACGACCTCACTGCGAGTAGGTTCCCCTTCCTTTGCGGGGTGAACACCCGGCGGAAGATCTTGGAAAGACTTAGTGCCAATGGATGATCCTTCCGTCGTCTTCATCAAGACATCGACAATGTAAGATTGGTGAGGGGTCAATTTCTCAGTGTCATTGCTCGCTTGCTTACGCTTCTTCTGGTTGATCACCACGCCCCAACCGAAATCGAAATCCTTGTACTTAACGTGGATCAATCGTCCAGGGTGAATGAAAGTCAAAGAGTAGTTCGGGTGGGTAATGACATGCTGGACATCGTCGGCAAATGCGTCCAGTTGTTTCCGTAGGTCGTAGTATTCACGGATGGTACCCTCGTCTGAGATGATCATATTGGCGCGCTTCTCCTCAAGACCCTCAAGCTCCTTCTCCAGGCCTGAAACGCTTCCAGTGTTCTGGAACTGCTTGAAGCATCGTTCGAGCATGTATTCGGGCGAAATACCTTCCACACGCATCAGATTGAGAATCATGTTGTAGCCAAGATGGAAGGCCGAATTAAGTCGGTCCTGTTCACCGCGCACGATCTCCTTCGCGACTGCTGGGTCCATCTCCTCTCCGACCATCATGATCACAATACCTCGGTCATCGAGACCTCGACGACCCGCACGACCAGACATCTGGATGAACTCGGACGGGGTTACCCAACGCTGGCTAGTTCCATCGAACTTGCGGACACTGGTAAAGACTACAGTCTTTGCAGGCATGTTGAGACCGATGGAGAAAGTCTCGGTTGCAAACAGGACTTTGATGAGACCCTCCTGGAACAGAATCTCAATGGTTTCCTTAAGAATTGGCAGCAATCCTGAGTGATGGACACCAATACCTTGTTGCAAAAGCGGAAGGATGTTTTGGATCTGTGGCAATTGGCGATCCTCTGGAGACAACATTTCGATAGCACTTTCGAAAACCTTGGACACCATATTCTTCTCGGAATCGTCGTTGAAAGTCAGTTTGCTCATCTGTAAAGCACCTGCTTCACACTCTCGCTTGCTGAAGCTGAAGACAATGACGGGGTTGTAGTTCTTGAGCATGATCATCCTGACAATCTTGAAGATATCCGATGGGCCCTTATTTCCACCCTTGTTGATTTGCTTATCCTTGCCCTTGCCCTTGCGTTTGGCTAAAGCGTCAGCCGGGTCGTCGCCCTTCTTGTCAGCAATTGCACTCATTGCTTTCTGGAAGTTCTCCTCGCGGAAAACTCCCTTTTCATCCACCACGAGATGGATGCCCTCTCCACCAGCGGGGAAGAAGTAATTCTGGAGTGGGGTCGGACGATAGTTGGTGTACACAACGTGGCAGGGCTGGTTATGCATCTTC